CATCGCAAATAATATTTCAAACCGCTCGGTAGGTGATTGATTTTGGTGGATTGTGTATTGAAAATTTTCTACCCACACTTATTCGAGCTGGTGGTGGTAGGAATGGAAGTCACCCAAATTACCTGCATCCCACTTTCAAATGAAAAAAAAATTGTTTCTTATTTATACTCTCGAGTAGTCGTTATATTTTCTAACTGCACTGCACACTGACTATAGATTTCTAAAACGGAAAATAAAAAATATTTTGAACTACAATTGTTTGTTACTGTGTTGGTGTAATATTGTTGGATATTGGGTTGGAAATTATAAATTATTAATAATATCAAATTCATAAAAGTCATTTTTATGAATTTACACAATTGGTTGATGGAGTAATATAGATTTGATACATTTGCCAAAGAATTCAAATCCACACACATAAAGAGCCTTGGTCTCTAAGAATTGTGGTTAGTGACTTTGTTTTCGTTGTCAACAAATACTTCATTGTGGATCACTGATAAGTTGGTATGAGTAAAAAAAATACATGTCACAAGTACTAGACATATCGACAAGAGACAAAGTGGAAAGTGTCTAAATTGCTAGTGTCTTCCTAGTTTGAAAGGAATTTATTATAAATATTAGTCAACTTGCCTAATGGCTAGTCGAAAAATTACTTTCGCGGGTTAACACACAATTCAACCGCATCAAATCCAACCCTAAAGAACATGTGGGCGAATAACGGATTACAATTGTATCAACTCGTATAAGTAGGTGAGTCAATTTGAGATCGAAATTCATCCAACGCACCCATTTCCCACCCTATTTAATGATGAAAGAGGACTAAACTAGTTGGTGGATGGTTAGTTTGGCACTGGCACATAGGAGATGTAGTATTAGATCCTGTTTTGGACTTAATTGGTAAGTGTGGTTTGCCGAATATTGCAAAGACTTGTAGGTAGCCCGAATGAATGTGTTGATGTTAACCTTAGTTTTGCTATTTAGACCATAAATTAAACGGAATTTTGAGACATGATATGTTATTCTAACTTCTAATGAGTGAACTTCATTCTCTAATTCTCTCAAATCAAACCATAAGGCCAATTTAATCAAAAGTTAATAACAAACAATTCCGATTCGTCAAAATATACCGAATTACAACTAGTAATTGTGAACGCATACGTATATTATAAGCTAGCTACACCAACTTTTGAATTTTGAAAGTATTTTCACTCGTATAGTTTAGCTCCATCGACCATGTTCATCATAGTTTTATGATCTTCATTTTTTCCAATCCATTTTAATGTTGTGTTTTAACTTTAATCATAATTTCAAGTAAAAAGGCCTTTCCATTCAGCACTTGAAAGAGGTCCACTTCTGCTCTAATTTCCACTTTTTATATTAAATAAATTTTATTTTGGAAAAGCAGATCAATAATTACATCTTGGTTAATTAGACTTTAACTTTTTATTAATGAATAGTAGTTAGACTTCTATTTAATTTGAAAACAAAAGGGTTGGTGTTTGCTTTATTTGCTTTCCTAATCGAGACATAAGGGGTTGTTTAGTTTAGTTGGGGTGACAATTAATCTTCCAATTATAGACATGTACTGAGGTCCAATTTAGATGGGTTGTCAAGTCACCTCAGCCACATATTTATACCTACCAACACTTCACTTTTCAATACAATTAGTAATGTTTCAGGAAAATGATTAAACTAGTTTAATCAGACGACAAAATAACAACCCAAACAACATGTTTAATACTCATAAAAAACTAAATTCTTTGTTCAATAATCCCGTCTTACATTCATTTTTAACGGACCATATATTATTTGTTTTAACTTAAATTTTATTTCATTTCATAATAGACTGCATTAATTGTATTGTACAAAATCATATTCATTTTGATATATTTTAGAACAAGAAAATTGATGCTCGTACCATGTTTTACGACACTCATCGAAGTCGATCTCTACGATAAGCTCCTTGGACCCCTAAGAAAGTGTCATCTATGAAAGTAAGTACATTGCAACCCTTGTAAAAATAATGATCTGAAATTTTTTGTTCACAAAATATATTAATATGAATATGTCGTTCATAATTAATACGTTTTAGGAAGGAAAAAAAAAATTAGCTGGTTCCAACAACTAATTTGGCGGGTAGGGTTTTGGTTTTGGATAGCTAGTCACATCTGCATTAGATGTATTTGGATGGAAAATTTCCATTCATGTGCCCGCAGTGTCAATTGCGGTTTTGTACGCTCACCTTTGTTTTGCTATGCATTATGGTTACTCTCTTCTTTAAAAGGATTTCATCTATTAGTGTTATCTGAGTGTTTTGAAAACCGAACCGGTTCGGTTGGTCTATATTGAATCATTCTATCAGAAATTAGTTTAGACAATTACCTGTACAAACAAATTAAAATTTTATAGGAGTATATTAATAATTAAACTTTTGTTTCTATTTTGGAGAACATTAATGTTTGGAGTTTGGACTATAGAATTTTAGAACTAATTTTTGTTTATGCCTAATACATTCCATTTTGGGATTTATGGTTTATGTGTAATATACTTATAATATTGTTGTTTACGAGTCATCCATTTTTTTTAACAATTTAATACCGTTATAACTATTCAATTGCGTTCAAATTAATATTTTTCGGACTATGTTTGTAACATCTCGATCTTTTTTTATCAAAAGGCGACTTCCCAAAAGGTCAATCATATTTGCACTGCACACGTTTCACTCCATAATTCTTGTAATAACTCATCCACTTGACACAATTTCAGCGAAATCGTTGACTCTAGACATGCAATGTCAAATTTTCCTAAAAAAAAAACTTTACTTAACTAACCACCATGAATTATTTCCTCTCACATTATACGGAAATGGATGACATTGAATCAAGAGGGTTAATAAAATTAAATCATCGAAAAAATAATTATTTAATTTCAACCATGAAATCAATCTAAATAGATTGAAATTTAATCTTCACCACAATAATTTATTTTATTTATCATTGACATAGGAGGAAAAGAAATCAAAAGCAAATTTACATGTTAAAGCATTTTTGGCCGGTAATTTACTATCGATAGCCACCGGTTCTCGGGCCAAAAAACATTAGAAAATGGAGTTTAAGCCTTGTATCAATTAGTTTAACTTTTATAATAAATATATTTGTCAAAGTTAAAGATGACTGACAGATCTTAATTAGGTAGATTAGGTGGAGAGCCATCGATCACCAGGTCAAGACTGCCACGTAGATAAGCCACAAAAAGAGCCAATTGATTAGTGGAGCAATTAACTATTCAAATTTAGTTTGCATGTGTGCAGTAAGTATCATTTTTAGCTAATTAATTACTATTCTTTTATAGCTTTGATTATGACCTAATTCGAAGAGTGCGACGACCGCGTATGTCTACTGGGATAGTCTATTGATCTAATTAACGCACGTGCATCGTTTAACTTGTTTAATTATCATTGTACGCCTTATGCTTAATATGCATTGAACTTGAAACAGCCAAATCCTAAAACCAAAAAACATTTTAAGGAATCTGTACATTGGAAAGGAGACCAATCTTGCGCCTGCGCGTACCTAAAAAAAACAGGACAATATAATTAAAAATGATGTTAACCCACTACACTAATTCACATCAAACGATAACAATTAGTTAAACGGCTCGTAGAAAACCACGTTGGAAATATCAAGGGTGGTGAGATTGGTACTTAAAAGTTCAAAGTTCAAAGTTTTGGGGTTCGAATCTCGATAGTCGTTAGTTTTGTGTTATCTCTGTAGTGGTTACTGGCCATCGACAAGGACTATTGTACCCGTCAAACTGCTATCGTGAGTTTGTCTGGTGTTCACGAGGTATGGAGTTTGTTGTTTGTGATGATGGATATCTCCTTATAATGAATACAAAAACGTTTTAGAAGAATTCTGGACCCGAGCTAAGTTTAATTTCTAAGACCTTTCAACTGTTGGAATCACTTTTAACATATATAATTTTTCTCTAAAAATTCATCTTGTTAGATATCAAAAGTTTTGTAGAAATACCTGGAACTGGAATCATGTTGTTGATTGCCAAAAGCTCGATGCGGAATCTGGAAGACGATCTGGAATTGGACGATACTCATAGAGCACGATCCGGAAGGTTCTATGACCTTCCTCAACCAAGCCTCCTCAATTCCATTACGGGATTCTCTCATCTTCCTGATGGAGAGAAGAAGAGTATTTGGTCTTGGTGTATTGGGGACCACAACCTCAAGGTTCTTTATATACTCACCACTATGGGCTCTCATAAAACCATAGATCTAAGTATTGGGTTTCCACTCATTTAGATCCATATCACATACAAGATATCTTTGGACTCCTAATATGGATCACTTATGATTAGCCCACTTCTGTAGTGGATTGACACTTTATGTCGTTGTAACGTCTATCTATATTGTGAGTTGTGTGTTTTGATTCACATGAATAATATTTTCTTGTCTCCTATAGCAAGTATATGTTCAAGGGTGTGCAGTGTGTTGAACAAGGGAGATGATTCTATAATAATACCAAGGTTCAAGATGGGGTAACTCTATGTACGTCTAGGCGCGTCTAAGCACTAGGTATTGACAAAATATCTCGCTTAGACTCTAGACGGACAATTAGGCACTCATAACGCCTACATGACTACTATGCAAAATTAGGCACTTTTTAATTGATGTGAGGTGTGATTAATCAAAGTGAGACGTACTTAAGCATGTTAACCAACTAAGGATTAAGATTAATTGTAGCTAATCTTCCCTTATCACGAATGGGTTCAGTGGCTTAGCCAGACTTTGAGTTGACTGGGGTCCTTAAAATTTTCAAAGAACTAAAGTCTGTGTATGTTATGAACTTTGAGTCGATCGGTGTCCTTAGGTGAGCTAACATCAACGAGAGTATGGGATCCTATGTTCGAAAGATTATACAAAACCCTACGTATCCAAAAGATTTGGTTGTCCCGTTTTTTTCCAACTGGGGTCCTAGAACACCTCTCCTCAACAAGTGGCTCCGCCACTGGGTTTATAACTCATGTTTAACCATCAACATCAATCACATGTATCATCCGTACACGACCTAGAAAATGAATGTATCAAACACGAGCCAAATTTTTAGTAAAAAAGATCCTTTTCAAACTCAACTCGTTAATAAACAAGCTTGACTCATCTATTAACAAGGCCGAGCGAGCCTCATTTGCAGCCCTAGCCAAGAGGGGGAAAACCACCGGAGTTGGCTGCAAATAAGAATAATAAATCTGCAAAATGAAAAAGAAGGGTAACAAAACTAGAAAATCAGCAATGGGCACTGGGAATCCATCCACAAGTACACCTCTATTCTATTTGATCAAGCAATCGTTTCAATCAAAATCTGAAGAAGCAGCTCTCCCTTGTGAAAGAAAACCATACACCTGCTTCAAATTCCCTCTGGATGGCCGCGCAGTGACCGCGTATTTGCAGAGGAACACCAGCCTCCGCCGCATTTCCCATTTGGTGATGCCCTTCTGGGCGAACGACCTCCCATCGTCGAAGTACCCTGTTTCGTAAAAATGGTTGCAGAGTTTTCTTGAGAAGCAAGAATCATAATGCATGACAGGAAGCAAGTGTTTGGACCACATGTGCAACATCTATCCACGAGTTTACCTTCTTCGTCGAATAGTGATGTCACAATCGCCAGACAAACACAGACGCTTATGTCTTCCCCTGTGACAAGAAATCGAATACCAAAAATCAAGCAATGCAAATGATCAACGCCGCGAAATGGTAAAGTGCGTATGTGAATTGCAATAGCAGAAATCCTGTACCATTCTGGCAGCAGACTAACAGACTGCGCCCTTTGTTAAGATGTGCCTTCGCAAAGTTCACAGCCGCAGGCAGATTGCTTGACAAGGAAAAGCGGTCCCATTTCGAGCTCTGGCCAAGCAGACAATGGCATTCATCAACCAACTATGCAAATTGCAAAGCAGCCACACGAAGGAGCAGCCCTCATTCTTTGATTCGGAAACTATTTTGTAACTTACCACCATAGGAAGATGCAAATAATCTTCGGTATTCGCAACACGGCCATGTACATGTGCTTCATCACAATTCAATATGCAATCAACATCCGGGACACTTGCGGCTGCACCACAACATAAAGAGGAATGAAGCAAGGGATTGTTAAGATTGATCATTAGTCGAACGAGTCATTAACGCAAGGAAAGTTTTGGCTATGCCAATATGTTACAAGAAGAGGACACGATACTTAAACCGATAGCATTGAAGATAATATGAGACATTGAACTAATATGCTAGTTTATCATACCATGCTGAATACTTCCAACCGCAACATTTGTCAAACCAATCCGAAACACAGCCATAGAATCCCCTCCCGGCGAATCAATAGAAGTACAAGAACTACACCGATCTGTGTCACCCGATGCCTTTGGATTCTTGAGAGAGATTTGGGGAGCGTCCTGTCCTCTTTGCGCTCTATAAACTCTGTCCTTCTCAACTATCTCGGCAACCTTTTGGTTGCACATTTCAGGACCGGAACCTATGATATCATAAGCGTGGTTCCAGAAGAGACCCGGGGAGAGACCCCTAGCCCAACTCTCCTCATCGTCTCCAGCTCCCGGTATATAGTTCCAGCTGAACTCCGAGGTAGTCCGGTGTTGCTGGAAAACACCATTTTGGGCTGACGCTGAAACAAGCATGACAGCCGTGAAGTCCCACGAATCGTGATCAGGTACTTCGTTGAGCCATATGACGGTTTTTTGAGATACCCAAAGCGGCCTTAAGGGCTTTTTCAGGCAGGAAGCAAGAGAAGCTATGTCAGCACCACTGGCTTCCAATTGTTCAACCCATTCGTCTATTCGCTCCTCAATGGCGGCTTTTTCTGTTCCGGGAACCCAAAGTGGGAGGTGCAAAGAACAATCCCAATCAAGCGAAGCTGTACATTCCACATCAGCAGTTTCACCCTTCTAACCAGAGCACGCCACACCACCCAAAAAACAGAGAAACCCATATGTTAATCACAATAAACGGTAGCCATAATCTCCCCAATTAGCATCACTGATTTTAAAACTGAACTCAATGATGCTAACCTCCTCTGCCTCTCTCTGCACTCTGCAGACGTAATTGCGAATAGCTCGATTCAAGACGCAAGTCCAGATTGGGATGGTCTTCGACATGCTATCGGGAAATCTCTTCCCTTTCCTGGTTGAATCAACAATCATACAACCTCCTTTCTGCCCTACCCATCAAAGAAGAACCAAACCAAAGCAAGCCAATCTCAGTCTACGCGGGAAAACACTCAACACCCTCAAGCTTCAGAAACAGAGCAAATCCAATCGAATTCAGGGGAACAAAAATCCCACAAAGGGAAAGGCACAAACTTTTCCATCCAAACAAAACAGAACATCAAAACCTCTCACCAAACAAGCATATTTCAGCTTCCCAACATCAATTACACGAAAAAACCCCGACTTTCATCCAATTTCCTAGAAACCAAACAGAGCAAGATCTAAAAATTACAGGGCATCCAGGTTCAAGAAATTCCATACCCATAAAATCATGAACAAAAACAGATTGGAAACCAGAGCTTCACAAAACAGAGCAAATCCAATCGAATTCAGGGGAACGAAATCCCACAAAGGGAAAGTCACAAACTTTTCCATCCAAACAAAGCAGACACCAAACAATCAAATTCCAGCTTCCCAACATCAATTCCACGGGGGGAAAAAAACACCAACTTCCATCCATTTCCCCAGAAACCAAACAGAGCAAGATCTAAAAAAATTCAGGGCATCGACTTTCAAAAATTCTATACCAACAAAAACAGATTGGAACCCAGGAAACCGTGGGGCAAAACAAAAACAGGGGAACACAAACAGAGACGAATTATAAAGGAAGCGGTACCGGCGAGGGCGGCGACGTGGAGGTTGAGGCGAGCGGTGGAGAAGGAGCAATTGTTGGTGTGGCCGTCGGTGGATTTGAAGTAACACGTGGCGGCGAAGCCGCGGGAGTACCAGAGGCCGCATCGGAGATTGGCGAGGAGAGGGAGCTCCGGCCACAGCTGGGAGATCTCGCCGACGAAGATGGAGTCCTCGTAGATTGAACGGAGGGCGTTGTAGAGGGAGTTGTCTTTCCGTTTGATGGTTCTGGCGGCTCTGTATATGCTCAAAGCCCTGCCGTCCGTGTCCATGGCTTCTTTTTTTTTGGTTGACGGTTCTTCTGCAGGAATGCTTTCTTTCTGATGTTGGTTTTTTCTTCTTTTGCCTGTTAGGGTAAAGGATCTTACTGTTGCAGGCGGCGGTTCTGAGTGAGTGAGGTAAGAGAAGAGAGGTTTGGTGGTGGTGGTTGTTTCAGGTGAAAGTATCACTTAACCAAGAGAGAAAGATATCTCTCTACCTCGGCTTTAACGGAATTTGTAACAGAGTGACTGTTTTGCTAAATTAGTCACAAAGTTTATTACTTTTCAATTTTGTCATGGACAGATAATTTTCTTTTTTTTTGTTACCCAACCTCTTTAAATCTTGATTTATTGTTAGTTACCGATCATTTATTTTCGTAACTTTATCATATGTGACACTTAAACGATTACTTTTAACCGTTAAGAAGTTGGCGTGTCAATTAAAAATAATAAAAATTGACAAATTAATTCCTATATTTGTCACGGAAGCAATTCCCATTATTTCAGTCAATATTGTCAATAAAAATGTTAAATCTAATAACAAAAAAAAAATGTTAAATTTGATGCCGTTGATTGACGAAATGACTATATTTATGATTATTTTTTTTTAAATATCATTTGCTACAAAGGTTAAAATTGTTATCTATACAAATGCATATTGCATTCTTTCAATCCCACATACACATTGATGACAAAAAAACACATGATAATTTCATACACAATTTTGTGTAAATCATGTCTGCAAGTTCACATATACAAATTATTTTTTCGTTTACACAATCTCATCAATCGACAAATTTTCACGTAATTCGTCGTTACCTATTGCTCCTCCTTGTAATTGGTGAAATGAAACATCATTTAGTGTCTTTTTCCCCCATGGTGTGTGACACATAAAACTTTTCAACATTACATTAGCAAACCAAACCCTAGCTAGCTAGGTTAATCATGTCCATAATACATGATAAAACTTCTTTTTTTTTTTTTTTTTTTTTTGCAGCCTTCCATTAATCAAGAAGATTACTTCCAGCTGCTACTGTTCCTAAGGACAGCCGTGGAGGCAGCAGCCGACTTGGCCGGATTGACAGCCCTTCGGAACTTGACAACGTTCCACGCCGTGTTCGTGGCATGACCGGCCGTCGCCAGCACATCTCCGGTCGTCTCGGCCGCACCTTCCCCGTACCTTTGACTCACGACCCGTGTCGTCGTCGCCGTGGTGGCCGCCAGTGCCTGCTTCTCAGCCGCCTCTGCTGCGTCTAGGATTTTATCTGCAGTAGTCGTCACAAAACCAATTTAATTCGTTTTTTTTTTTCCTTCTTCTTCATAATTACGTATGATTAATAATACTGCATTTGGACTATAGTGTAATGTAGGGTTTACTTATGGCATCGAGTGAAGCGAAGATGACTTCTCCTGGAAGGCTAGCCAGGAGTAGCTTCCCTGCTTGGGAGTTGAGCAGCGGCGCCATCACTGAGCTTGAAGCTACATTTGCTCCATCTAGCATGGCCTTGCTTACCTCTTCTGTCATCTTCGATAAATCCCTCACACTAGAGATTTGACAAAGATTAGACAAAAGAAAAAAAAAAAAAAATGATCGCGGTAACCTATCCAAAAGATTACATCCTCTTTTCGATCGTGCTTTTGTAGATTTGTTTACATACGATACAAAAGTTATTAGGATTGAATAAAAGAGTTTAACATAGACATCAGTATATAATCAACACTGACCGACACAAGTACACAATAACACCATTCATACATGTACTTCTATTAACAACTCAAGTTATTGGGATCGTCAGTTAGTTTCGACATGATAATCAGAACTGGTTTAATCGTGACTCGTGACGTTGCATGTTCAAGTTTTCACGAACTCCGATATTAGCAGTTGTTTTTTAAAGCAAATGGCATGTCTAAAGCGAATAATGGCATGTCAGGCCTAAACATTTTGAAATTTACATATTTGTTCAATATTTAGATGTCTCTTAATTGGATTCATGAATCCAATCCGCGTCTATCCATTTGATCCAGATTTACGATTTCAACAATCCAGTCCATCTAATTCATAAATCCAATCCATCAGCCACCTTTATCAATCCATACGTAGATCTCTCCATCCAACAACTCGAATAATTGAAACCGTGTGCTAGAATATTAAGAGATAAACTTAACAGTACATAATTACCGTTTTAAGCTGTTTTGATTAGGGCCGCCGCCGCTCTTCGCTCCACCGTTAGACTTCTTGGAGCTGTTCATTCCACCAGCCGGCGGCGCCCCTCCATAGCTGACTTGATCACCCTTCCCGCCACCACCACCATTCAAAATCATTTCAGCGCAGCTATGCACCTGATTCATTCAACACAAAGAAATTACACATCAACACAAAGAAGACGCCTAAGTTTCAACTAACTACCTACTCTTTTCAATTATTGTCATTTCAGTACGTGCAAGCAAGCAAACTGTACATAAAACAGAGCTACTTAACCAAGTTGCTGTAAACGTTGCTGCACATGAAGATCCCCCTCACAATCTGCCCTGTCCCCTCGGCAATCCCTCTAGCCAGAACGTTGTTGTAATCCTCAACCCTCGGAGCGAGTTGCTTCCACTCCAAGTTACTGCTGCTGCTGCCTGACGATGAAGAAACAGGGCTGCTAGAGCCAGAGAAGCAGGAATTCTCGGCGAGGAACGAGTCCAGCACGGCCGCGATCTTGCTGCTGACGTGGCGAGGAAAAGTCAGCCCGTAGCTCAGCGGGCGTGCGCCGCCCCTCCTCATGGGGAGGGAAAACAGGTAGTGACGAGAGTCGAGCCTGACCACGGGCTCGTCTCTCGTTAGGGGCCACTGAAGGTGGCCCCCTACCTTGATCACCGTGGCGAGGGGGAAGCCGCCCTTGTTGTCGGGGGTCACGACTCGGGCGATGGTGAAGTCGCCCGAGGCGAGCTCCAGGGCTTCCCCTTCGTCCACGAGGTAGGCCGTGCATCCCGAGATTTTTAGGATTGTCTCTTGCTTTGTTGTGGTGGGTTTGGGTTTAGGAGGGGTGTTTAGCTGGGATGATGAACGGGTCATTCTGAAATGGCTCATTTCTTCCTTCTAATTTGGGGGGAGGGGAGTTTGGTTTGGTATAGGGACTAGGGTGCTTGTTTTGTGAACTTGGAGATCAATTAAGGGCATGGATTGTGGGTAGATATGAAGGAACATAAAGATGCAAAGAGTGGTGGGTTTTGTTGATAGGAAAAAGGTTATTCTCGACAGCTTTTTTGGTTTATTCTGATCTTGATGAATAATCTTTTGGTGATGAGAAAGAAAAATGTTATCTTCTTAGTGGTATGCCTGAATTGAAAGGTTATTCTCAATATATTTTGGTTTATCCGACATTAATATTCTCCTTACAAATCTTTGAAGCGCAAAAGATATAGCCCCATGCTCCATGAGAAAGTAGAGTTGACAATCAAACTCGACCGAGAAAATCTGACCGCTCTCAACTAAATCAACATAGGAATGAAGAAAGTATAGGTAAAACTCGCAAATTTTTTGATTGAGATGGGATGAGTTTGGTTTTAACCTCCCCATCATATACTTGCCCCACCAAGAGTATTTCTTCGTATAATAAAAATCACCCAAACTAGGCACTAATTCTTTCAATTCGCCCTTCACTACTTCTCTTCTTTCCCCTTTGTTCAAAAAAATGCGTTAGTTATTTATTGCTTAGTAGTTATGTTGGACTGTCAGAGTATGAGATTAATGATTTGGATGGTACTATACATTGTCTTAAGGATGTTTTAGGATTTGATGGTTTGAATTCGTATAAAGAATGAGTATATCATTGTTACTTTCACGATTTTTTAGGTATTATTTAGTCTTATAATTGAAGATCTACATGTTGAATTATACTGTAAGCATAGTAATATTGAATATACAAGACAAGTATTACCCATGAGTATCCAAGCACCGCATGTATTTGAATAGGATTGCAAAACCTTCCTACTCGAGTATGGGATGAATTTGAATATTTAAAAGTGTAAATGGGATGGTTTGGAAAAATCCGCGAATTGTCATTCCTAATAAGAAGTTACCCAACTCCTCGAGCATTCATAGCCATTTCCTCTAGTATACCCTACTAGCTTAGCAACAAAAATGAATCAAGGAACCCTACAACTGTTGTTGCTCTTCCCTCACGCTTACACTTCAACAAGCGAGGAAAAAGTTTCGAGTTTTTTGGATTGACACAAAGCATAAACCTCTCCACAAGTTACACAAACCCTAACGTGAAGAGAAAGAAAATGAAACAATATACGAGTTCACTTCACAATGGAATGTCGCACTGTTCCTCTTTTCCTTATAAACATCAACTAAGACTTCCTAATTGCACCTTTGGCGGCAGTCTTGAGCATCCCAGTAGCAGAAACAGAGGAAGCAGGATTGATGGCCTTCCGAATCTTGCAGATGTTCCACGCAGCGCAGGCGCAATGCCCTGCTGATGCAAACACGTCCCCTGCAGCCTCCCCTGCTTCTTCCCCATACCTGCGAACAGATTCGACACCCATTACTATGTAAATCAATCTAAACCCACCATCGTTCGCGTCGCGAATTAGAGTTTCGATTATGAATCTTATATAACGTTTTCGTTTACCGGTTACTTATCCTTCTTGTTGCGGCCTCTGAGGTTGCAGACAGAGCCTGCTTCTCTGCCGCTTCCGCTGCATCTAGAATCTTATCTGCTCATTTCCATGGAACACTATCAATCTCTGAGTTACTGAAAATGAAAAATGATTTGTGAATCGATGAGGGTTACTTACTGACAGCATCAAGGGAGGCCAAGAGCACTTCTCCAGGGACCATAGACAGGAACTGCTTCCCAGCCTTGGATTTCACCAGTGGCTTCATCACTGAGCCAGTGGCTATCCCAACTCCGTCCAGCATTGCTTTGCTCAGTTTTTCTGTCATCCTCGATAGCTTCCTCACACTGCAGCAATCAAAGACAAATACATTCCAAATAATAGCACTAGTTTCTCGATTGATCTAACCAGACGCGCGCTTGCTTTTTCCCTGCGTGCTTGTTCTCTTTATATTATTTATACAACTATGTCAAACGGTGTCACTGTCTGTCAAACTGTGTCAAATAATAGCAATCAGGTATCACCGTCTGTCAAACTGTGTCAGGGCGGGAGACAAAAAGAATGTTTGAGTTGATTCCTTTTCAATGAGAACTAGACACGCGTTTCATATCCCCATGTGCTTGGGGGATGCCGTTTGATCCGTGAATCCGGCCACCTTCCTTCGGGACGTGATTCAGGGATAGAGCAAAGACAACCTATCTTGCTACAACCGTCAAGACTTTCCTTACTTTAGCGCTAGAACGAGGGTAGACTTACTTTTTATGCATCAAACTGTTGCTATTATTCGAACAAATTGATTGAAAATCACGGAGTCTCGATGTATCTTCTCAAGTACAATGAAATTAGTCTCTTGTACTTGTGGATGTAGCTAACATCACTACGCGACGTGTGTTCTTTACTTTTTTTTTACATTGTCGAATTCTCGATCTGTACTAACAAGAAACCAAACAGCATATGGAAGTGGGGAAAGATAAGTAAATTACCGCTTCAAGCTTTTGTTCAATTTGGTCTTCTTTGCAACCCCGGATGAACTTCTGCCGCTGTGATTTCTGTTTCTCCCTGCATCTCTGCCACCCTCTGCTGCTGCACTTGTTAGTATCATTTCACCTCCCTTGTGAACCTACAAAAATGCAACTCCAATCCTCAGTTCCATAACTAGAAAAAAAACTCATTACCAGGTGAACATGGCTAATGAATCCCAATACCCAATCATTCGAACAAATTACCTGATTTGTGTAGGCATTGCTGACTCTGAACATTCCCCTGACTATCTGCCCTGTTCCACCAGCAATCGCCCTCGCCAAAACGCTGTTATAATCCTCCACCCTCGGCGCGAATTCCGTCCACTTCAGGCCACTCTTCCCGCCGCCGCCGCCGCCTTTCCCACCGGAATCAGCAGAGAAGCACGAATGCTCCCCGAGAAAAGCATCCAGCGACTGCAATCTCTGCCCGTCCCGCTCCGCAAAAGTGACGCCGTAACTCAGGGGATCCCCATCTTTCATGGGGAGGGAGAACAGGTAATGCATTGCATCCAGCTTCACGACAGGCTCGTCTTTCGTCAAAGGCCACTGAACTTCGCCGCCGGCGATGCTGACGATGGTGGCGAGGGAGGAAACGTCTTCTTCTTCTCCTTCTTCTTCTCCACCCATCTGCTCAATGATACGGAACAGAGTGAAGTCGCCGGTGGCGAGCTCCATGGCTTCCCCTGCTTCCATGAGATGCAGAGTGCAAGATGGGATCTGGAGGAGGATCTCGTGCTTCAGATTTCTGCTTTGTGGTGGGAATGAAGTTGATGAGGAATTGGGTTTGGTGCTTCTTTTGGGTCTGAAACAACCCATTTTTTTTTGGCGGTTGATGATGAATTGGGTGGTTGCTCTGTTTTTCTCACTCCTTCGTCTGTGTGTGCTTGTTTTGGATTGTGGGTATGGAGATGGGAAGGAAAGCAGAGGGATCGATTGGGGAAGAAGGTGGGAAGGAGAGACTGTGGCCGTGTGAAACTGCCGAACTGGAAAGTGGGTTGAAAAAGTTTGATTCTTTTCTTCGGGTTCGTAGGCTTTATTATGTTCCTGATTGACGATTTTTGAGCATTGGGTTTGGTTGTCTCCACCTTTCGGCGTCGAACAGGGGAGATATCGATATTTTGGCTGTCTAGGATTTTACTTGCTTTCTATCTTTGTATAGTTTTTGGTATAAATTCCAATTGTTTTCATACCCGGAGAGGATGCTGGATCAAAAAATTGGGTTAATATTTTTGTATGGCCTGAACTTTGACCAAAATAAACATCTTGGCCAATCTTTTCGATCTATAACATCCTGGCCCGAACTATACACCAAAATAAACAATTTGGCCAAACCCGATGTTTGACTGTTAACTTGGACGGTCAAACGCGCTGACTAACGGTCAACGCGCCACGTCACTGCCAAGTCAGAAGATATGATAAATATTTAATTTTTTTCGTTTTTTATTTTTTATTTGACTAAGGTATTAGATGATTTTTTTAATTTAAAATAAGGAAATGTGTGGAAATTGTGAATTATTTTAAATATTTTATGCTGATTTGGCGGTGACATGGCGCGTTGACTAACGGTCAACGCGTTTGACCGTCCAAGTTAACGGTCAAAAGTCGAATCTGGTCAAATTGTTTATTTTTGTGTATAGTTCGGGCCAGAATGTTATAGATCGAAAAGATTGGTCAGGATGTTTATTTTGGTTAAAGTTCAGGTCATACGAAAATATTAACCCCAAAAAATTTAATGGATGTCGTATATCGGTTAATCGTTGATAGAATCTTTCATGTGATATTATATAAAAGTCATATATAATACATAATCTATAAATGAATTTAGGGCTAATACCACCGGAAATACCATCCTTTAGCGAAAGTGTCATTTGTATTACGTATTTTCAATAAACACAAAAGCATTCCAACGTATTAGGGGTTTGTGCCATCTGTGTTACGCGAATTTCTGTTGACCGTTAGATCTAACGGTTGACCTAACGGTGGTCAAACTTTATCTGACCACTAATGAAGTGGCGCCTGTGTGTTGTCCACGTAAGTGACACATAGATGCCATGTAGGAAATTAATAAAAAATCAATTATTTAATATTTAAATTAATTATTTAATAATTTAATAGAAAATTAACTCTTTTTTTGACACACCCACCCTTTATTTGACGACACCCACCTAGGGGAGGAGAGCGGATCCAGTGACTAAGGGGGGGTGCTTAGTCACTTGACTAAGCCCCTCCCAGCCCTTAGATCTGGACACTTCAATCCAATGGTTAAAAAGTGGGAAGGGCTATTTAATTAATGACAGGGGTAGTTTGGGTATTATGGAAAATTGCGAAGTATACAAACCGGATTTACAATCAGTACAAACCATACAAACATACGAACAGTACAAACTAGAGCGACAAAACATACAAACATTACAAACGTATGAACTGTACAAACAATACAAACTAGACTGACAAACAATACAAACCATACGAACGGGAAAAAAACACTCGGGTTGACTTTGGAGGCTCCATCCCTATATAGAGGGGCTCCTTCCCAAAGTCAACCCGGGTGTTTTTTAGACATACAAACAGTACGAACATGGTGGACAAAAATGACAAACTAGACCGACAATCCATACGAACGGGAAAAAACACCCGGGTTGACTTTGGAGGCTCCATCCATATATAGAGAAGTTTCATCCAAAAGTCAACCAGGTTGTTTTTTAGACATAAAAAACATTACAAACATGGTGCACAAAAATAACAAAGTTTACAAACATTACAAACATGGTGCACAAAAATAACAAAGTTTACAAACATTACAAACATGGTGCACAAAAATAACAAAGTTTACAAACATTACAAAATAATAAAGCGTACAAACATTACAAAATATGTCAACAAACATCACAAAACATTGTCGCCGAAAAATTCTTCTCCGTCGACGATGATCGCCGGAAAAAAAATTTCCGACCAGAATCAATATCTCTCTCTCATAATTCCCTGGGCAAAAATCTCTCTCGCTGGGATAATTCTCTCCTCTCTCTCTCTCTCCTCTCTCTCTCTCTCCCTCCCTCCCTCATAATTCCCTGGGCAAAAATCTCTCTCGCTAATTCCCTGGGCAAAAATTGGGGAATAATTGCCACACTCCCCCTGGGAAAAGTGGTCGGCCGGAGAGAAGGATTGGCATGGCCGGCGGGAAACTTTCTGGAAAAAATAACCAGGCCGTCGGAGAAGGAAATGGATGGGCGGGCATGGGCTGTATTTTTATTTAATTTAATTGGTAAATAAAAAATAAATAATTAAATTACTACATTACTCTTCATTAAATTGGATTAATCAGGACCATAGGATTTTAATGAGGGGGAAGGGCTAAGATTCACTTAGTCACATGACTAAGGGACCCCCCCTTAGTCACCTGATCTTAGCCCCCTAGGGGAGAGCCCGCCGGCGCCGGCGAGGAAGAAGCGAGCGTTATTATGTTGGGAAGAAGAGGTCGCCGGTGCCCAAGGAAGGTTAATTCAATCCTCCCAAACCCAACTTTCTCCAAAATCCAGCTTTCTTCTTCTTCAATCTCCCATACCCAGCTTTCTCCGGCGGGTCGAGCTTCTCCTTTGGCGATGGTGGATCGATGGCAACGACCAGGATAGCGAGATGGCTCAATCGGGCAGGGGAGTGGCTTGAGACTTCGGCGGCGCAATCGCATCTCTCTGTCTCTACCTCTCTCGATCTGCAGTGGTCGATCGACCTTCTCTCTCTCACTCAATCCCATAAACAAAACAGAAAAAATCATTGCCCAATCTCAATTCATATCCCGCGAGAGCTTTTGAAACAGAAGCTTCCCGTTCGAAATCAAGGAATTAGGAGGGTCACCTCCAATTGAAATAGATAGGAGCTGACTCTGTCTCCGGCTCCCTGTCTCCTCTTCATCGCCCCGCGAAACAGAGTAGCATCGATGACGCTTATCACCGCTACGGATTCCCTTTTGTGGTGTTCCGGATCAGCGCTTGAGGGAAGGAGAGAATCAAGGTGAAGGGAGTGGCGGACGGAGAGACGGTGGGAGCCGCTGTGAGGATGTGGTGGTGGTGGTGCCAGCGACAGAAGATGTTGAGAAGTTGGGGGAGATGGAAGAAGAGAATGTGGCGGAGGGGAGAGCGAGAGAGATAGGGAAGATGAAGAAAGATATATTTCCTTTTTTGCTTTCATTTTTTTTACAATTATTTTATTAGAATTTTCCACATCAGCTGTCATGTCATCGCTGACTGTATTTTCTGTTAACTACTAACAGAAAACTTAACGCCTGGTATACAATTGTCATATCGAAAGTTACATAATATAAATGGCACTTTCGCTAAAGGATGGTATTTCCAGTGGTATTAGCCCATGAATTTATCACTAACTATAAACAATTTCAGTCATATCCTACTGCATGGTATCTCACTCTTGTAAGTTGTAGGCACGAATCTTGGGGACCCGGAGTAAGGTAACAAATAGACTTTAGAAAGAGATTTAGATTGGCTGAGAGGAGAATTTAGGCAAAATTGGGTGATTTAGAATTGAGGATTAGGGTTCTTGAAAGAGACTAGATAGAAGAGGGATAATTCTGACGATACTTTGATAGATTTTTCATTGACGCCCTTAACAATAGAACTGAAGTACCCTAATCGACTAAACCTAATAAAATACTAAACTACCCTTAAACCTACTAATCGTACCCTCAACACTCGCACATGGATTTCTCAATGTCAATTTTTGTGGTGATTGTCAAACCCTTGTGGGACGTGTTCGGGAGAGGAATGTGGCTCATGGTTAGGGTGGTGTACTGCCGGAAGAAATTCAGATAACTATGTCAGCTTTTTCTACTTTTTTATGTACTTTTACTTTTTCAGGGTATAACAGGGTTGTCCATTTAGTGACTCAAAAGGTCCTTTTATCGATAGTTCGAGTATTTGTCGACTGACCCATTTAATAATGTGATGCTTTGCGACTATCTATTTGAACTTCATATCTATCAGAGAAAAAATTTGCTCTTGTGTAAGTTTGTGATCGGTAACATAAGAATTGAAATTTTAAAATTAAAAATGGAAAAATGATTTTCTTACAATGATGAATGATTTTCTTACCAGTCCTCGCCAGCTGTGAGAAACGGCAGACGGAGGTCACCCAAGGAAACTACAAAAGAGGAAGAAAAGGAGGATGCAGAACAGAACATCGTCACATCGAGGTTGCCCAGCTACGAGGGCACACAAAAGCTCACAAGCGTACACTAGCACTCTAGGAGCAATCCAAATAAAAAAAAAAAAACACCAGGCTGATTAGCAGTACACAGCTAACTAGGAAAGACAATTGTACCCATAATCGTAGGTATCCGATACTTCTCAGTTCAATTAATGAGGGGAATTCCGTCTTGATCGGATACAAGGCGGATATTGGTAATATCTACAAATAAAGTGGTGGGGATGAGTTTGGGTATTCCCGTCCCATATGTATTGCTTATATTACATGATCGGTAGTCCGGTACCGATTGAAACTGATCGGCAATTAGAATCATTGGTGATTGGCAATTATAATCAAACGAATAAATTTTGGGGAAAAAGTACAAAGGGAATTGTGTGAAAGAATCAATTTGGAGGTGAGGTTTTAGAGATTTAGAATCTGATTATGGGTGGGTAGCAGGTTTGGCAGGTTCAAACCCACACTAATTCATATTTTGAAGCTCGGCTACTCCGACTCTCCATTCTAAACGAGGCTTGTAGTTTCAGAGCTTCCTATTCATTCCAAGCCCTTCAACTCTGTACAAAAGAAGCCTTCTTTCCAAGCTGCTTACTCCAAACAGCGAGCTTATGTTACTGCAGCAATTGAGATCTGCTGTTGACAAAGCCAAACCCAGATGATACAGAAGTAAGAAGTTAGCTGCCAATCAGAGTCCTCTGAGATTTAGCTGTGACCGTTTCATATCCTGGCTCAAGGTTCTGCTGCTAAATCTTATCTTTCCATTCCTAGCCATTCGAAAGTCGAAACAGCAAGCTAATGGGTACTGGAATCGACAGCTTCCGGTGACAGAAGACAAACCACAGAAAACACAGAAGTAACGAAGATGGAGCTGCTAATATGGTTATACAGAAGAAAAGAAGCAGCAAACTGTCAATGCTTCTATCTACCACATCGCTGAATCTAAAACTGGTAGTACTGTTTAATAATTTGTGCCGAAGCTGAGTTGCCGCCGAGCTTGGTAACGCGAGCTTGTAATCCAAGTGGAGACACTAAAGTGATGGGACATTGGGCCGGCCTCAAAGGCTGGACTTGGTGAATCGACTTCCGGCCTGCCCGCTCCAAGCTTTGAGTTGGGCCAGGAAGGCTTGGCGAAGGCCTGAGCCGACCTGGTTCCTAGAGTCGGGGGATAATGCGCCAGGCTGGTTTCACAGAGCAGCGCGGCTCCCCGCTCTAGGCAGTGGAGGGATAACAGGCCGGTGATTCTCATGCCCGCATAGCCTGCCGGGCCGTCCAAAATTGGACCATCACTTTTTTGCGGCCGACCTTCTGGGCCCAAAACTCACAGGCCCATATAGTTTTTAGTTTGTCTCTGGCTGTTCTGCAACTTCGAACTGTTCGCAGCGCGGCTCCCCGCTCTAGGCAGTGGAGGGATAACAGGCCGGTGATTCTCAAGCCCGCATAGCCTGCCGGGCCGTCCAAAATTGGACCATCACTTTTTTGCCGGCCGACCTTCTGGGCCCAAAACTCACAGGCCCATATAGTTTTTAGTTTGTCTCTGGCTGTTCTGCAACTTCTAACTGTTCGCTCCTTCTTTTCTTTCTTCTTCCGCCCTTCCAAACAACTTTCCTTCGCCGCGCTGACTTGCAGCCAGAGGAGAGGAGGTGAAGCCGCGGGAGAATGGTTATAGCTGTAGCGGTGCTAATTCTGGGCGTCTTGTTGGGAGCCTTGTTTCTGATTCCACGAAACTCTGGTAAAATCGTTTTGGGTTTCTTCCTCGTGCAATTCTTCATTAGATTTCCCAGTGGTTGATCGACGAAAGTTTTTGAGTCTTTCAGCTGTCACAGAAAAGAACCGAACAAATGCCGCCGATAGAAAGAAGGTGGGTTCTGATTGTTACAAGCTATTCGCAGCATTGTTTTTTGCAATGCTACTTCGAGAATCTGATTTTTGCACGTTTGTCTAAGCTCGTAGCCGCCATTCATTGGCTAGTGAGAGACTAATGAAGTTGGAATTTAGATGAATCCATTTATGAACAAAGTCCTGATGCTCAATGGTTTTTCAACGTGTGTCGGCTTGCCACTTCTTGGTTCTTAGTAATGCCATGATTGTGTTCAAATTTTACCAGCAGCCAAGGTTAATGTTGGCAACGCTTGGTTGCTATCTTTGTATAATTTTTGGTATAAATTCCAATTGTTTTCATACCCGGAGAGGATGCTAGATCGAAAATTTTAATGGATACAGTTTATCGGTTAATCGTTGATAGAATCTTTCATGCGATATTATATAAAAGTCATATATAATTCATAATCTATAAATGAATTTATCACTAACTATAAACAATTTCAGTCATATCCTATTGCATTGTATTTCACTCTTGTAGGCACGAATCTTGGGGACCCGGAGTAAGGTAACAAATAGAGTTTAGAAAGAGATTTAGATTGGCTGAGAGGAGAATTTAGGCAAAATTGGGTGATTTAGAATTGAGGATTAGGGTTCTTGAAAGAGACTAGATAGAAGAGGGATAATTCTGAAGATACTTTGATAGATTTTTCATTGACGCCCTTAACAATAGAACTGAAGTGCATTATATAGACTCTGATTCGAAACCCTAATCAACTAAACCTAATAAAATACTAAACTACCCTTAAACCTACTAATCGTGCCCTCAACACTCGCACATGGATTTCTCAATGTCAATTTTTGTGGTGATTGTCAGACCCTTGTGGGACGTGTTCGGGAGAGGAATGTGGCTCATGGTTAGGGTGGTGCACTGCTGGAAGAAATTCAAATAACTATGTCAGCTTTTTCTACTTTTTTTAATGTACTTCTACTCTTTGAGAGTATAACAGGGTTGTCCATTTAGTGACTCAAAAGGTCCTTTTATCGATAGTTCGAATATGTGTCGACTGACCCATTTGATAATGTGATGCTTTGCGACTATCTATTTGAACTTCATATCTATCAGAGAAAAAATTTGCTCTTGTGTAAGTTTGTGATGGGTAACATAAGGATTGAAATTTTAAATTGGAAAAATGATTTTCTTACAATGATGAATGATACATTACTTAAAACCAAAAGGGACCAATCCTCGCCAGCTGTGAGAAACGGCAGACGGAGGTCACCCAAGGAAACTACAAAAGAGGAAGAAAAGGATGCAGAACAGAACATCGAGGTTGCCCAGCTACGAGGGCACACAAAAGCTCACAAGCGTACACTATCACTCCAGGAGCAATCCAAAAAAAAAAAAAAAAACACCAGGCTGATTAGCAGTACACAGCTAACTAGGAAAGACAATTTAGCAAGTGGAATGGTTCGACCAGTGGTATAATTGGTTTATGCTTGTTCATTTCGCGCTTAAAAAAAATATTTAAAAATGTGAAAAATCATTAATATCAAATGAATTTAATCATTATGTAAACCACATTTGAAGACAGTTTACTTACAAATTCATACCGATATTTAAATAAAATGTGTCATTCCAAATAAAATTACAATTACTCATATTTACATATAACATTTAACGTCAATAACTAAATTTATATACTTGAGTCCAACAAATAACTTTTAAACTCATAAAAAAACTATAATTAATTTTTTTTTATAAACTAATAGCATGTTACTTAGAAATTCATAAATCGATCACGTCATTCATACCGATTTTGTTCATGCAGGTTTCATGACCAGTACCGGTTGAACCTGGTTGGCAATTAGAATCATTGGCTGTTGGCAATTCGAATCAAACAAAATTAGCAATTCGAATCAAACGAACAAATTTTGGGGGAAAAGTACAAAGGGAATTGTGTGAAAGAATCAATTTGGAGGTGAGGTTTTAGAGATTTAGAGTCTGATTATGGGTGGGTAGCAGGTTTGGCAGGTTCAACCCACACTAATTCATATTTTGAAGCTCGGCTACTCCGACTCTCCATTCTAAACGAGGCTTGTAGTTTCAGAGCTTATGTTACTGCAGCAATTGAGATCTGCTGTTGACAAAGCCAAACCCAGATGATACAGAAGTAAGAAGTTAGCTGCCAATCAGAGTCCTCTGATGAGATTTAGCTGACCGTTTCATATTCTGGCTCAAGGTTCTGCTGCTAAATCTTATCTTTCCATTCCTAGCCATTCGAAAGTCGAAACAGCAAGCAAATGGGTACTGGAATCGACAGCTTCCGGCGACGAAGACAAACCACAGAAGATGGAGCTGACAATCTGAGTTTGAGCTTATTTGGTGGACTGAAACTGAAACAGAAGAAAAAGAAGCAGCAAACTGTCAATGCTTCTATCTACCACATCGCTGAAACTGAAACTGGTAGTACTGTTTAATAATTTGTGCCGAAGCTGAATTGCCGCCGAGCTTGGTAACGCGAGTTTGTAATCCAAGTGGAGGCACTAAAGTGATGGGACATTGGGCCGGTCTCAAAGGCTGGGCTTGGTGAATCGACTTCCGGCCTGCCCGCTCCAAGCTTGGAGTTGGGCCAGGAAGGTTTGGCGAAGGCCTGAGCCGACCTGGTTCCTAGAGTCGGGAGATAATGCGCCAGGCTGGTTTCACAGAGCAGCGCGGCTCCCCGCTCTAGGCAGTGGAGGGATAACAGGCCGGTGATTCTCAAGCCCGCATAGCCTGCCGGGCCGTCCAAAATTGGACCGTTACTTTTTTTGCCGGTCGACCTTCTGGGCCCAAAACTCAACAGGCCCATATAGTTTTTAGTTTGTCTCTCTGGCTGTTCTGCACATTCGAACTGTTCGCTCCTTTTTTTTCTTTCTTCTTCTGCTATCTGGGTTCGGATCAAATACCCAGAGCTGAAACTTTCTCGCGCTTTCCGCCCTTCCAAACAACTTTCCTTCGCCGCGGTGACTTGCAGCCAGAGTTGAGGAGGTGAAGCCGCGGGAGAATGGTTATAGCTGTAGCGGTGATAATTCTGGGCGTCTTGTTGGGAGCCTTGTTTCTGATTCCACGAAAATCTGGTAAAAATCGTTTTGGGTTTCTTCCTCGTGCAATTCTTCATTAGATTTCCCAGTGGTTGATCGACGAAAGTTTTTGAGTCTTTCAGCTGTCACAGAAAAGAACCGAACAAATGCCGCCGATAGAAAGAAGGTGGGTTCTGATTGTTACAAGCTATTCGCAGCATTGTTTTTTGCAATGCTACTTCGAGAATCTGATTTTTGCACGTTTGTCTAAGCTCGTAGCCGCCATTCATTGGCTAGTGAGAGACTAGTGAAGTTGGAATTTAGATGAATCCATTTATGAACAAAGTCGTGATGCTCAATGGTTTTTTCAAGGTGTGTCGGCTTGCCACTTCTTGGTTCTTAGTAATGCCATGATTGTGTTCAAATTTTACCAGCAGCCAAGGTTAATGTTGGCAACGCTTGGTTGCTTGTCTGGAGTGAATATGGGTTGAGGAGGGATTTGGAAAACGTGATACACCTATGACTGCATTTGTTGCAGACAGATGACAGATGCTACTATGAAGGTCGAAGGATGAACCCTTTGCTTTCTTGGATCTTGATTACAACCGTCTACTTTAAATTGTAGTTTGTTCGTGTGCTGGGTTTCAGACGCTGTGTTATGCTAGTCATGCTTATAGTTCGATCGAAGTCATTGGTGTTCACTTAGCCACTGAATAAGTTTCATGCTTCTGGTTTTCTTATTCTCAGGTATACGGAGTGTACAGCAAAGCTGAGGTCGCCTTGCATGACAAGAGAACTGATTGTTGGATCATTGTAAAGAACAGGGTATGGTATTTCTCCCAGTTTTAATCCTCCATACGAATCATTTAAAGCCGTTAATACAAAGCTTTCTGCAAGATTTATTTTCCTTATCCCCTTTTTTGTGTTCTCCCTGCAGATTTTTGACGTTACCTCGTATGTAGAAGAACATCCCGGTGGTGATGCTATTCTGACGAATGCTGGAAGCGATTCAACCGAAGGGTTTTATGGGTATGCTTGATCTTCATCCTCAACACTAGTTTAGCAGAGATTGTCCCTATTCGATTTTTAGTTCAAAGAATCAAGTGAGAATTTGATAACTACACTGTATGCCATTGCAAATGCTTAAACCAAACTAGTTAAGAATAGGCAGCAGAGATTCATTCTTAGGTTCTCAGTTCTTTCTCTGAGCTTCAGCTACTGTGTACAGACTACAGAGTGTCCGTGTTTTTGAAACAGATTGTTAACCATTTAGGAGTAGCTTAGCAGAAACTGAGTATGTGGAATCTGGGTAAAATTAGAATAATCTTGATCTATGACATTGTAGTTTTCCCTATCCTTGGTGATATATCGAATTAGTTGGTCCAACTACATTCGTGTTCTCTGATTCTCGTTCTCGTTATAGTAAACTACACATGATCAAAGAGGGGAACTGAGGATGTTACATATGTTTCTTCAACTTGGAATGTTTGATTCCATTCTGTTTCTTGACATTGCAGGCCGCAGCATCCTGGTGGAGCTTTTCAATTGATTGAGGACTACTGCATTGGAGAGCTGGAGAAGTAGTTCTTAGCCTGGGGTTTGGCTTCATCTAACACCACATTGCACATTCTATTTGTATCAACTTGATTCTTCTCCTGGCCATGCTGCTGAACTGCACTGCAGCGTTTTCGCACTGAGAAGATAATGATCCAATTACTTGACTCCTCGAGTTGCAGCATGTTATGTCGTACGCATGAGTGAGGAGATAAAGATTCAGTTGTAGACAGTAGACTAGAACTCAGTCTTTCTTCTAGGTTCTCTATTTCAGCAAGCATTATCACCTTACTCACGCTGCGTTAGGATCTTTCGGCAATACAGCAGCTATAGGATAATAATTTTGGGAGAAACTTGCTGCTGCCACGCCATCTTATAAGGGAATCTGCCTCGATGAGTATTCCTCCTCTGCCAAGCAATTACACGAGTGAACTGAGAAGCCCGCCATTGTTTGAAATCTACAATTTGAACCCCTGCTCAATGAACCCACTAAAGAGTTTGCTAGCAAATTGTTGGTCTCACTTCTGAACTTTCAACTGCATAACAACAATCTACATAAATTACAAAACAAATGATATGGAAAAATTACAACCAATCCATCACAAAATGAGTAGATTGGATTGATGAATAAAATTTCAGATTGAATTGAGACTAACAGCTTTTCTCCTCCTAGAAAGAGACCAAAACCAATGAACAATAAATAGACTAAGCTTGATCCTAGCCTGCAGCCTGGAAGTAAAACACATAGGACAACATGTAGAACCAACCCACCAAGAATTGCTTCCTTTTTTATAACTTTTGAACTGAATTTTCAATCCCCCTAAGAATCAAATTAATCAACCAATCAAACAAACACTCCTATCTCTTTCTGAAATGATGATGATCTTCAGACATCGTATTTCTTGGGACGTCTCCATTGCGCCAAACTTCTACACAGAGAGCCAAGGAATGAGGCTTTCTGAGGAGCACCTTTCTTCCCTAAATGCTTCCCTCCCAAGTCTGTGTAAAGTGGACCCATATCCTTGCTCCTATCAATCTGCATATCGCAACAATCATAAGAAAGAGAACCATAGGATGAAACAGGAACTATCTTCAAGTGAAGACTTGAAGTTCATTATGCATACCTTGTATATCTTCCCGTCTTTTAAGTGGTACCGAATGCCAGACCAATTGATCGATTGGGAGAAATGGGAACGCATGGCAGATATTGGATATAAGAAGTTATCCACCACCATAGCTACGAAGACCTGCTCCATCGTATACCCATGTGTGGCTCAAATTAGCAAGATTGTACTTTTCAAACTCTTTAACCACTTGCTTACAAGCACCCAAATGAATGAATTGCACCATAACAGTGAGAACTTACCAGAACCCAATTGTAAGAACCAAGAGAGAGTCGAGGTGCCTCCGGGGATAGCATGTTGCACAAACGAACTTCTACTCTTGTCAAGTTCCACATCGAGAAGAGTTCTACAAATGTGCACGCTGCCAAACAGGCAACCAGTAACAACCCTGGCAGAAAAAAGGAATATAGCACGTTCATGAGAATGCAGCACTCCTATTGTATTTGGTTCAAGTGTACTTATTTCTCAATTGCTTGCCAACTATTTCGCATGTTGTTAAAAGAGGGGTATTTGCAAAAAAAAAAAAAAAAAAAACATTTTTTTAGTTCAATGTATTTGTACTGGGCATAGTGATAGCAGCAACCAAATACAGCCAACTAAGCGACCTAAGCATATGAGAGAACCTTAACAAAAGCTTTGAGTACCTTTTGAAACAAAAACTGTTTCCTCCCGAGCATACCCTTGGGCATAAATACGAAGGGCGGCTGCAATATGAACCACAGCCATGAAGTATGGCGCTGCAAATCCCCATGACAAATAGCAGTGGACAGAAAACAATGCTCGGTTCATTATCCAGTTAACCCTTGATATGTACGACTCCAGCACAAATGTTTGCTTCCTCAAGTAATTCCAGTACCTAACAGAATAAAAGCAGTTAAGTCGAGCCAAATGGAAAGGAGGGTGTAGCACATTCAAGTCTGGGAAAGGAATACATGACAAACCTCGAAAAGCTAAGATCACTAGCAAGTGGGTGAGGGAAGACGGCAACTGGAGGTGATGTAATTAGTAGCTTATGAGCCCCTAGGGAGGAAATGAAGGACATCAGGGATCTAACAAGTCGTTGCAAAATTGCTACTTCTTACGACTTTCTGAAAATATCGTTGATGAGAGAGAGTTACCAGCCAATGCTGCAAGAGTCATATCATCTGAGTAGCCACCATCTCGAAGTCCAGAGAGCACACCATGACGATCGCATCTAAAATCATCAGCATGCATCTGAAAAATAACTAGGATTACTACAGATAAAAATTTCAAGACAGATAATGGACTAAATGTTAATAAGATAGTGGGTAGCTAGATACCATCATGCACCCTCCCCACAAGAAGAATGTCTTTCCACCAGTTGCAAATCCCATTGAACATGGCTGCCAAAAAGAAATATTAATAATGCTCATCATTAACGAATTCATAGTGTGTTATACATTCACGATTCATTAGGCGTGTAGGAAAAGAGAGGCAACGAAAGAGATGAGGTGTGTCTTTTTACCATATGATACTCATAGATGCAGTAACTTCCCAGACTACCAGAAGGTAGATCTAGAGGATATCCCGTTTGAATAAATATCTGCAAGAACTTTCAGTAAATTAGATGACGAACATGTGGCATAAACAGACCACAACAAACTCCAAGAATACCTCAGGGTTCTTCAACATCTCTGCAGTGAGAGCTCCAATGGATCCAGGGTGCAGCCTGACATCATCATCCAAAAATAGTACATATTTGGTCTCTGGATGCATGTTCTCAACCCCAACCTTAACAAGTGCAGCAGCAAAACATGATTAATTCCAGTGGAAGTACGCTTCAAGAAAGGGTTAGGAAATGATGGTGAATGGTGAATGAAACTGCCAGCTGTTACCCTAAGCTTGCATATGTCCATGTGCGCTGATCTTCTAAGTACAAACTACCTCACTACAAGAGAACCAAAAGACAACTACAGAGTTGCAAGTCATATATTATATACCAATTGGTTATGAATTTTCTGACTGCATGTAGTTGACAAGCCAGCTACAATAACTTGAGCTTCGACATGATCCTGCACAAATCATTGGAGCACATGGTCACAAAACAAGACCAAAACACTCAAAATAGGCTTAGATTTACATGAAACTATTTAAAGGATGAAAATCTGTCACATGATTAGAGCAGTTCTAACTTCTAACTACATGTGTTATGAACATAAAGTCTTCTCTGTATAGATGATGATGTTTACGTTTGTTATTCCATTCGCTAGGTGGATTGACAGTCTAACAAAACGTGCTGCTACTTGACATGCCACTAATGTGTTACCCCATTAACAAAATGGAACTTCAAAAACAAGCTTCTAGCAGAGGATAAGTTTAAGTAAGTATGAGCAAGCATACCTTAAAATCAGATAATAAGCGAGACACAGCATGGTAAGCAGGGTCTTCTGTGCTTTCTACAATGAAGAGAAATTCTAGAGGACCTCCATAGAGTGATGTTATCTGCATTAAGAGCCATAAACAACAATAAAGAGTAGTTGATAGAATATAAGAACAGACAAAACATAGGAAGAGCAGTAGCTGACAGAATTGGATTAGGGGGAAAAAATGATTACAGATAAGATAAGCTGTAAACGCAACAAAGCTGGCCGCTAGTACAGAAAAGTAAAAATAGAAGCACAGTGATAGACTTTCAAGTCTAGAGTAAAAAACAAGACCAGTTAGATCTACTAATGTGTCCCAATAGCACATGATTATCCAAGATCTTTAGTTCTCAATGTCCAAAAAATTGGTTAACATGATGTCTGTAACAACAAGCAGGGTATAATCACAGAGCAACCAGACAGCAGTGACAAGCTTATGAACCAGGTGCGTGACTTCATAAGAAAACGGTGTAGTGTTGAAACCAACTAACCTGGCTTCTCCAATTGTGAAGATTGTGTTCTCCAAAGCCTTTCAAAGGCATAACGACACTCACTCTCGGCAGGCTAGCCTGATAAGAGTGCTCCAATTCGTTAATGTCATGGCAAAGGAATGAAAAGCTATTGCCGGCTTTAGCACTATCCTTCATTTGTTTAATCTCCCTATTCCTGCAGTGAGAAGGTACCATGAGCGATGAGGCCACTGCATGCAGCCACTTAATAAATGCAGATACAAAGGTCCAACATACATCTACAGTCATCATGTTCATCAAATATTGATACCTGACATAGGCGGCGAGGACCCATCCAAGGGAAAGAATTAAGCAGATCAGACATCCCTGCATAATGAGCGAAAGTTTAAGAGTCACAACATGATCATCCATCTCTAGAAAGATAAAGCAGTGAGAGAGAGAGAGAAACAGATAACAGTAAGAACACAAAATATGACCAGAAAGGAAGTTGCTTGTGATATATACATTCAATTGTTCATAGCAAGAACATGAACTATAATAATAGTTATTGTGACAGGCACGGACGAATGCCCTTCAGAACACATCAAGTTTCAAAATATACAGAATAAAATGGAGTAACTACATCTTCAACATTATGATCTTTTCCGTACTAAGTATAATCTTTTGCAAGATAAACAGGACTAGCATGAAGCAACAACAGCAGCAGCAGCAGCAACAACTTCAGATGGAGAAAGAAACATGGCCTGTGAATACTCCTGAACCAATATTGTAAGCAGTAAGACGACAAACACAACTAACATGAAGCAATCACATAATTAACAGGATTTCTAACATAAAGCCACCAATTAAGGCCTCCTAGACAACCAATGTAGGAACTTGAAATGCTTAGAGTGCAACAATTCTGACCATATTCAACCAAATTCCAGATAATGTCACAAACCAGATTTATTCAGTCAGCCTAGCAGTTCAGAATTTCAGGACACTATCCCTAAAATCCGAGATTTATAACACCTGTGTAATCAAGCTGAAAATTTAGGCATGTAAACGAGGAGGTTGCAGTAAAAACCAAAAGGACATGTAGACAAATGAATTGAGGGAAGTTGACAAGCTTGCTCGGCCGATCCAATAGAGATTTTATAGGGAAACAAACAATTCGGCAGGGCAAAAATCCTAAAAAAGAGTTATCACACGTAGCCTCACACCTCATTTATTCGATTATATGCTCCAAGAAAAGTGGTAAAGAAGGAGACATCCGAAAAGTAACAAAATTCTATCACAGGATGCTAGTCACTACCATCTATCCATTTGGGAACACCTAAATGGCCAGCGAAAAGTCGAGAGCTTTGGCATACATGGCTAACTGCATTTGGTTGGATTATCTCATGTCAAGTTTCTCCAGGAAAGCATGATGGAAAACGCCAGGGAAAGTTGAACAAATTCCAGCAAGAAGCCGAACTCGCCTAGGATTCACCGAAATTCAGCTCATACAAATACAAAACGGGGAAAAGTTGCCACCTTTTCACCACCAAATTGCCGATGTCAACCAATAACCAGAACCCAGAGAAGGAAATTGAAAACGGAAGACAGAAAACCAAAAAAAGAGATTGAAAAAGATTTCCAAACTTATAACCTTGGCACAGTCGCATCAGAATTTCCTTTGGGCAGAAAGGGGGAGGTAAAACAAAAACAGAGACATAGTTGGATCTGTATTAGAAAGGGAAAAAAGAAAGGAGGACGTCGAAACCTGGATCTGAATGAAGATTGCAATTGGAGAAGAGAAGGCCTTGGAGAGAGAGAAGAGGAACGAATCCACAACCTCCATTGTCGACATTCTGATTCTCCCTTCTCTCCCCCGTTCTTGTTAATTATCCCCCCTTCCTTCGTTTCGCTCCGCTTCACAAGAGCTCTGTGTCCAATCTAATTGTGCAAACCCCCAAAATCATCCCTCTGCAGCCTTCCCCACTTCCCTCAAGAGAACCTCAAATACTGGGCAATCTCTCTACCTCCTGCTATCTTCCGGGTTTCTTCTTCTCCTTGTTCGGTTGCTCTCCGTTACCTCAATCTCCCCAGCAACCGCATTCCAGCTCAGATCGCCATCGAACGGAGACGACCCATGAGAGGGAGGGAGAGAGAGACTGGTTATTTTTTGCGTTTTCGGAAAAAAAAAAGGAAAAGAAAGAACCAGGGAGCGAGAGGAGAGGGGAAGACAGAGGTACAGAGAGAGAAAGAACGGGAATTTAAAAGAAGATAGACTGAAAGGGAAAAGGGCTCTCAAGTGTGCGTGGTGAGACCCGCGTAGATTTTATAATGGATGGATTTTCAAAAAAAAAAAAAAAACAGGGGTCCCGTCGCCAGTCGGGTCAGATCCTCCGCTTATCCCCACCAGCCTCTCTGGCCGCCGCCGTCGCCGTCGCCGCCGGTTATACAATGATTGAATCGCCCTGTGGTGGGGTAATTTTGGTCGGCAGCGAGATGAATCCGTGATTGGTTGGGACTTGGGATTGTTCTTTGGTAGTATAAGTTGGAGTCGGAGTGAGAGAGTGAAGCTTATATAATTTGAGAGAGTGACGAATTTCAGAGGTAGGGGAAGAGATGCGGTTTTCTTCGATTCGGATCTTCTGCTGCTCATAATTGGCTGACCATTTTCTTTATTATATTGTTCTTTCCTGCTCAATAATACCCACCAAGCAATCAATGGGACTGCATTTCTTGTTCCAATTGCCTTTCTTTTCGTGGGTGTAATGAGTAACGAGAATTTTCCCCCAAAATACAATATTTGCTATAAAAAATTTCCACAATGCCCTTATTACACTATTTTTTCCCCTCCAAAATACACATGTTTGGTGTGGTTCACTGCAATATTCAACAATTTAGAAAGCGGATAGGTGGATCGATTCAGTTTGGAGCGATCTGCAGGTGGTTCGCTCCAATAAGTTACGATCTGCTAACTTTTTTTAATTTTGTACAACTTTTCAAAAACTACACCTTTAGTAGAGAATATTTTTCAAATGTATGTTGAAAGTTAAAAGATTTTCTTTTGTCAATAAATGGTTGACTCTATTAAAGTTTTGGGAAGCAAAATGGCACGAAACTAACGCGAAAGACAAGATAATCGAGTGTATTTCCTCTAGATATAGCACCTGTCCATGACTGAGTAGAGCTCTTCTACATAACATCCCGAATGACTAGTTGAGAATCTCCACACAAAAAAAAAACAACAAGATAAGGCACCACCTCGTAGTATCATGAAAGGCAGGTAATTTGCAACACCTCAAAGTACAATCATGAAATTTATCCAAAACAAATGAGACCGCTCCATCACCCGAAAAAACTAACGTGTCCAATCGCTATCTGTTGATTTATCTTCAATGCCCTCATCAAATCAGAAGAGAATACCTCTCTAGGGGTGGACAACAATCCGGTCTATGTCGAATCGAATTGTATCGAGTCCATATTTGAACCAAATGAAATATATTTAGATTCGGTTTCGATCCTAAAAATCATCTTTAAGTATGAAAAATAAAAGTGGTCTGAAATTGAATTTGGACTGGACCAAGTCGAACCAAATGAACAACGCATGCTTTTGGTTAGGTTCTGATCTTCAATTTTCCTTTAATTTTGATCTGGTTCTTGACCTTTAATTTTGATCTGGTTCTTGACGAATAGACCGATGCCCACCTTTAAGAACATGGAATCAATAACTAGGTATCATCCCCCTTGGATTAAGAACACGGGGTTGATCGTCGAGCAGCTCCAAAGTCTCGAGTCCATCCACCCTCCGAACGGACAACTCCCTCGCCGGCCGCCGCTCGCGCGGCGCCACGAGACCCGAGATGCCGAGCCCACCGACCCCGACCGCCACCGGCGGCCAGTGGGACATCCGCTTCCCGGCGAACCCGTGCACCACCACGCGCCCGTCGTCGTACAAGTTCCAATCCCTCACCCGACCGCCAAACTCGAGCCGCGGATAATATTCTCCTCCCCCTGGTAGCTCCGCCACCAGAATCGCCCTCTCCTCTCCGCCGCCGACGCCGCGGAGTACGGATCCCGCGGACAGTCGACCCGACCCGAAGGATCGCCGGTCCACCCTGGATGTCACGATCTGGACCTCCGGCTTCTCGAACCATCGCCGGTCGTACGTGGAGTCGTCCGACGGGACGAAGACGGTGTAGAAGCCGCCGGCCGGCGAGGAGGCGAGGTGGCGGGAGAGTTTGGCTTCGAGGTCGGAGCAGGAGGAGGAGTAGTTGCCGTGAGAGCGGAGAGCGGCGGCGATTTCGTGGGGTTTTATTTGCGGTGGTGGTGGTGAGTGGTGCTGATTGGACATGATCTGAAACAGAGGAAGGCAGTAACAGAGCATAGGGAAGAGAACGGCGACCAAGGTGGTGAATTTGGGCTTGGCGCCAGAGGAGGAGTGGTCCGCCATTGATGATCAATGATCTGAATATTAATTAGGAATTGCCGATCCAAGGAGCTAGCAAGGCATGCTGATTAATTAAATAGTGTTGTACGTTCTGGTCCAAATCCTGGTCTGGTTCAGGAGACCTTTTCCGAGGCAGATCAGGAGTGGAGCACGCTTACATCAATTGGCTCAAACACGCTAACCTCTGCCTGTCATTGTTCCATCTATATAAGCTGTCTAAAACAGACAAAAGACAAACAAAGAGTAACAGAAGCAGATACACAAAACAGATAGGAAGCAATTGCAAACTCTCACTTGGGAAAAGATTTCAATGGCATCATATATAAGATAGTGAAAATGTGATAAACGAAGCTAAGATCCAGCTAAACAGAAATCAGGGTCTGTGAGTTATAAGCTCCCTTATTGAAACGATATCAGGAATCTCCTATGGATGATTGCTCGTTTGGCTGGTTACCGATAAAGTGGTGAAGAAGAACCCCAGCGGCAACACTAACATTCAAGCTCTCTACCGCCATAAATGACTGGAACTCTTTCTTCGAGTGCTCCACATTCATCTCCTCGTCGCCTTCCACACCATCACTTTCTTCCACAGCTGCTGCATCCACGGGAATGTTTCCAGGGATACGAACCAGCTGAGTACAGGATCTCTCGACCAATGGCCTCAATCCAGTGCCCTCGCTTCCTAGCACAAGGATTGTCGGTTCACCCGGTGCAATTTCGTTCAAGGGAACGGCTCTTGAGGAGACTGAACCCCCAACGACACGCCATCCGTTCTCAGCTGATAAGACCAAGAACTGCATCATGTTCTTGCAGTACCTGAGCTCCATCAGCTCAAGAGATCCTGCGCTGGCTTTGCTCACCACACCGCTCAGTGGTGCTGAATTTTTAGCACATAGGATTACCCCTGAGACGCCGAAGAAGTACGCAGACCTAATGATGGCACCCAAATTCTGAGGATCAGTAACTTCATCTAGGGCAACCCAAAGTGAGCCTCCTCTCTCTTGTTCACCTGGGGGAACCGGCTCCAACTCCTTGATTTGCACCATCTCTAATGGAGAAGCATCTAGTATAAGACCCTGATGTGGCCTGTTATCAGCAATCATGTTCAAATCATGCTTAGAAACCTCGGTTATGCTTAGTCCGAGTTTCTCAGCCATCTTCAGCACTTTCTCGAACCCTTTCTTGTCCTTCTTCTTCCTATTATTACTACTCATGTCCAGCCCTTGTTGAACGTAGAGGGCATAAAATTCCCTTCTTCCTGCAGATAGTGCAGCCAAAACAGGACCAACACCATAAACCCCTTCACCAACCACTTTAGGCAAGGTCGATTCAGTATTGGCCTCTTTCCATGTCTTTCTCCCCCAGTTCTCTTGATTCTTCCACCTTTGGAACTCAGGTCTCTCTATCCTGCTCTTTATGCTATTCCATCTAGGATCATCATTAACAACCTCAGTTTCCTCCTCTACTTCTTCCTCAACATGTTCATCCTCATGAGCATAATCCTTAACATGTTCCCTTTTAGGTGGTAAACTACTCGGCTTGTTTCTGCTTACCGACCCATAAGCCCCAAATGAAGACCGTGCTGGCCTTCTACCTGCCCTGTCGTTCTCCACCCTCCTACCACGCTCCTGGCGGTATGGGTAGTTAGGAGTTTTCTTCTCCACCCTCTCTTTTCCAACTCTTCTGGACGATTCATCCGGGGTAGAATCACTAACTTTCTCTAAACTCTGCAGCGATTTCTCCCAAGGAGAAACGCTACGCTTCTCATTCACAGCCTTCACCGGTCCCCCTCCCTCCTTCACTCTGTTAGACCTCAACCAAGGAAGCGAATTTCCATCTTTCACAACAGCACTCCTTCTACCATTGCTCGGTTGTGGGCGTTGTGAAGTAGAGAAACTCCTAATTCTAATCCTAAACCCACCTGAAACCCCTCTTCCCCAACACCTGCTACTACCCACTTCCACCGAATCACCAAAATAGCTGCCTAAAACCGGGTGAAAGTTGATTGCTTTGGCGGACTGGGAATCAGAACAATATGAAACTTTGGTAGTGAAGTGTGTGGAAGCAGGGTTTAGCGAGGGTTTAGCCGAGGGGAATTGGCTGAAGCAACTGGGTTTTGAGGAATACCGAATTGCAAAAGGGAACGCATGGATTCTTGCTAGATTGCTGCACATTTTGGTGGCCCTCAGACTATGTTCAAGAACAGTGCGCCGCCGGCGGAAATTCACAGATGCGGGGGAAAGGGAGTGATTACCTAGCAGATAGAGTTGGCCCGGTCAATCAACAGAAACCCATTTACAGCTCCTCCTTCTCACACCTCAAGCGACGGCGGGAACTAACGTGACCGGCCCAGCTAACTTCCGGCGCAAAGTTCAGTTTCTCAGCTGTTAAGAGAGAAAGGATGAGATTCTGAAGAGCTATCGGTCTTGTACGAAAGCATAGCAGCAGAGGGAAGAGGTGGTTGCAGAAAGTTCCGAAGGAATGAAACGATGTCGTATTGGATCGACCAGGACCCAGGTTGTTGAAATTCTCTATTTTCTTAACCGACATTTTATTGGGCCTGGATTGATCTCTATGGGCTGAGCCCGATTTTTCTTAGAGCTCGGGCTAACGGGTTCCGGATCCGGTCCGGAAGTCTCGAACTTGAAAAGAAAGAAAAGGCCGATATTTGAAAGGGCCACATCGTCAATTCACATAGCTTTCCACCGTTCTCCAAGACTGAGAGGCAACAGAAAAATCCCTAATATCGCTTCTTCCTCGTTCAGCTATTTTCGATTTCGTTCCTCCGTCAGCCACCACCGCCTAGAACTTCTCTCCTCCTCGAGAAGTCAGTCTCCCTTTTCATCAAATCAGCCGACATGGGTACGCCGGAGACATCCAGGGAGCCCTGCCCGGACCGCATCCTCGACGACATCGGCGGCGCTTTCGGCATGGGCGCAGTCGGCGGCTCCGCCTTCCACTTCATCAAAGGGGTTTACAACTCCCCCGTCGGGACCCGCCTCACCGGCGGAACCCAGGCCGTCCGGATGAACGCGCCCCGCGTCGGCGGCAGCTTCGCCGTCTGGGGCGGCCTCTTCTCGGCCTTCGATTGCACGATGGTTTACG